ATGACCGAGTAAGTGCATTTCGTCCATTCCAAAGAATTCAGGGCCTGTAAAGCTATCCAATCCAGCCATAGCGGATGGCGAATGAACACCAGGCTAAAAGCAATAAGAGAAGATTGTTACTAAGAGCAAATACAGCTATCAGAGTAAGTAGAGCAAGTTTGAACAATACATGTGTACCTCATTCGCGTTTTTATAACCCTCCTTTGAGCGCCGAGGTGCTGATACGTTGGGAAAATATATCCCTTCTCTGTTGTTACCTTCTGGGTGTTCCCCTTTTACTAAGCACATCCGACAACCATCGAACGACATATGCCCAGTGTGACATGCCAAAGCTGCTACACCAGGTATATCTCCTGTAGCCAAAAGGAGGTGTACACGAGCACGGACAATGCTACCGTCATTGATCTTCACTTCCATTCCTTCATTTTGCAATATAGTGAGCTCCCTCATCGTTGGCTCCAAGAAACTCCAAATGTGATTCGGTTTTCGCGGACCTGGTATAAGGCATATTTGCAACATATTCTGTTTCTCATATCTATTATAATATATGTAACTTGTCAATGGCCTTTTATATTTGTTGAGGATTGGGTTTCAAACAGTAGTTTATACCTGATGGAAGGGTCAAAGTTCAGAACAGTGCAGTGGATAATAGTCATTTTGCATCCAGCATTATTTTTGAATGGCTGAAATGCATCGGCATAAAGAGCTATGGCAATGTCGTACTTCCCACTGAATAAGGAGGCCCGCGTCTTTTGGTACACTGATCCATCCAGGACATCACAAAGCTTTCCTTCAGAGTGTACGTAATTATGTCGGTAAAGTAGAAGATCGCGTGTTTCGGGATTGTGTAATAAATATGCAAGTTGAGAAGCAAGTGAAAGCTGCTCAATTGTTGCTCGTGGCAACGTGTTTGAGTCAGCAATGTATCTCGGTGTGGAACAGTAATTGCATACGTTGCTGAAATCAGCTTCAGTGTACATCTTGCAACTTTTTTCGCAGATGTGATAAATTGTTGGCTGGACTGGATAGATATCTTCCATCACACTTTTCGATCGGTATTGTGAATGTACATGTTCATGGGCTACTATATGGTTTGTCAATATAATCTATCTCGCAATCCAGTATGCTGACAGTGATTGACATACCAGGATCAATGCTTGAAATGATCTCATTCATAAGACCAAGGTATTCCATATGTGCTGCTCTGGAAACCAGAAAATTTTCAAAGATCCGCTGTGCTTTCATGCTGATAATTTCCATCGGTCTTGGAATGATGGCATCTGAAAATTCGAACCTCAGTAGCTTGCCGCTATTGCTGGTTTCACTTCTGTCCCTTTCTGCGAAGTCAAAAATGAAACTTTGATAGCTGCTCTAATCTTGTGTTTTGCTATATTACGAATACGTACCATCTCCTCTCGGTATCTGCTTTGGCTGTTCTTGTTGTTCCTCGATTTGAATGGTGTTGGGTAATTCATTTGGGTGACAGTAACTTGTTGATGCATGCAATGTAGTACTGTAACTTTGTTGAATATAACTAGCATCTATCCTATGCCCGTTAACGATCGCCGCATCACTCTCACGTTCAATAGAATCTTCCGGTTGATCGGGCGATGAAAGTACTTGTTCGAGATGCTGTCTCTGTAATGGGCTGATGCAAAAAGACACGTTCAGTTAATTAATTAACCATGTCGAAGTGCTAGCTGCATTACCTCGAAACTAAGCTAGAATCGGCGCAATCATCGGTTCTTCTCTTTTTTCTCTGATATTCACGAAGACAAAGCGCTGCATGCGTGCGGAAATAGTCTTTATTAACAGCTTGGCGACACCAACCGCATGCTATGGTTTCTCCAGGGTTCAATGATCGCTTTTGGCGTTTACGATACTTGTTTGGCAGCCCAGAAGTCATTATATATTTGTTTAGTAACAGAGAAAAAGTTGTATTGTAACGGAGCTCTTTTATATAGATTGCAATGAAAAGTGGAGTGGTGGTGGTACAGCTGCGGAACGCGTAGATCGCAATGAACAGTGGAGTGATGGTGGTACAGCTGCGGAACGCGTGTTGGCGACGCGCAAACATAAAAAAAAGATTGTTCAGCCGTTTTGAACTGTGCGCTTTCCGCTCTTCTTCCTCTTTTCTCTCTCACATGGCACCACTTCCCCGAGCAACTATTCAAGCTTTGCTTGAAAATATACAATCTCTTTCCCAGCGCTTTGAATCACTTACTGACAGCGTTAACCAAGTTCAAGAAACTCAAAGAGAACTTATCAACAGCTTAACAAATATCCAAGAAAATCAAGAAAATATGCGTCAAACCATTGACACTCTCATCAGCGACCAAGAAAGCCCAGCACCGCTTCAAGAAGATACTCAAGATGGGATACTTCTAGGCTCTACAAGGAGAAGAGATATTGACCGCCCGTTTCAGATCGTAAACGGAAGAAGGCGTGCAGCTGAATTGGACGTAAGGGTGATTGAACGGATGATACACCGCGAGTTTTTCCACGCAGACCAAGTTGGTGCTGAGAATGCCATCATCAATATGCATACTGCTTTGATGGAATCCGTTAACAACCTTCGCAATTCACTCGGCGTCAATGATTACAGTATTCCTTGGAGTGAGATTGATCGCACTTTGCAGCTTCAAGCCATCAAGGACCTGGAAGATAGCTTGTTGCCTTTGAGTATAGGACTTGATCGATGTAAAAACTCATGGGCTGCATCCTTTTTGATGGCGTACAAATGGGGTTATTTATTCCAATATCGTAAACGAAGGGTCAGTTTAGAGCGTGCTGCGGCGTCAAGACAAGTAAGGCAATGCGCAGCATGTACAGTATCTTTATGTCTACGTGTGTATGTCATTGACCATTATTTCTTTTATAACGTCATTCAATAACGCGCAGAATCCGGACAGCCATCAGCATTCAGACGATGCGACAACGTCGTCTTCAGTACATTCTACTGTCTCATCAAATAGGTAGGCCAATCGTGACATCAAATAATTTGATAGCTTAGCGTATGACGTACTGATAAAGCCTTTCTTCATGGGACCTGGAAGCGAAAATTATCAAGACCAAGACCGGCCTACATGTCGCCGCCGCCGCCGTTTTCACTAACATGATATACCGTATACTGTTTACATATAGGTACTCTTTGGACCCTTCTTCCCTTGCAATCTATTTTTTCTTTTTTCCCAACATATCTAACTTTACATAACTTCCTGCTACGTCTTTTTAATCACGTTTCTTCTTTATCTATGTATATTTCTTTTACTGTATATCTTGACACATACATGTATGTGTCTCTCACTTTGTTATATCTGAATATGTGTAGTCTTTTGTTCAGTTCCTCATTGCAATAAAACAAATACCTCTCAATATTGGATTCGCACAGCAATAATCTCATAATAGCCGATACTATAATTGAAGGATTGATGCATGAATTATTATCGAAATCTAAGTAGGATTCTTGGCTCATGGAGATAGCAAAAATTACTCGTGAATCATCGCTTCCAAAAAAGAATAACCATTACCCTTAAATTACAGCATCTTCCAGAGAATAAAAGTTATCATTTGATTATAGTTTCTACTCTTTAATAATCCAATAAAATTAAAACAAGAATAAGGATAGAAAATGCATTTTTCTATAATTAGTCTACCCTAAATTTCAAGGTTTATTATACTATGTATCAAAGGATACTATCATAAGATTTTCCGCTGTGCAGCCCCAAGTCTCACCCACGTCAAACTTTCAAGCAACAGTACTGCCTCCCGTGATTTGCGTACCATGTACCAGGTTCAGCGAAGCCGTATTAATGTAATCCTGTAAGCTCAGCCGTGCCTCTCATACACTGTCGATGCTTGGACAAGTGAATGGAAAGTTCCGTTTCTTGGTATAACTGCCCACTGGATCGATGACGACTGGAACCAACAATCCATTGCCTTAGGTCTCCAGCTTCTCTCCAGCCCTCACACTGGTGCCAACATGGCGGGGGCGTTCCTGAACGTTTTGAACGATTGGAACCTCGTGTCCAAGCCGCTCTTTCTGACTACCGACAATACATCCAATATAACGACAATGGCCACAGAGATTGAACTTGCTGTTGGACGCGATGTCTTTGATGCCGAAGAGAATCGTATCCCCTGCATCATGCATATAATCAATTTGGCGGTGCAAGCGATCCTCCACAAAGGTTTAGAAGTGGAAGCGTACGACAATGCAGAGCAAGCCTTGGACAGTGACAACTAAGAAATAACTACAACCATCAACGCAGGTAAATAAGCAAAAAAAAGCAATATCCGCCCATCAATATATGTATAGTAATTAAACTATATTTACCTTAGGCAAAACGTTGCGTAAGCTTCGCAAAGGGATTGTTGCTATCATAGTGTCTCCACAAAGACTGGATCATTATCATAGTGTTACGGTGAATTTGGGGTATTCCAGGTAGTTGCGTAACAGTTTATGTGTATGTTTAGTAGTGAGCACCAGTAATAATATCGTTTATTACAGACGGGTTGTGAAGTGATATGAGTGTAAAGTAAGGTAAAAATGTGTATGGGTTATGTCCAAGGTTGTAAATAGTAGGGAGCTGTTGTTTTGATTAAGCTCAGTGAGTAGAAATGAGGATTAGGGATGTTACGTCTGTCCAAAATGAATGAGGAATAAGGATCAGGAATGTTACGTCTGTCCAAGTAAATGAGAAATAAGAGCAGGAATGTTACGTCTGGTCTTAATAGAAGAGTTTATTTAGCTTCAGTTATGAGCAATAAACAATATGTAAGATAAAACAAGCCGTGTTTAGGTCTTGAGTGATTGAAAACAATACTTGAAAAGTTAAGTCAAAAGTGGGAGGTAGAAATTTAATGTCTTTATTCAAATAAAAATGATGGGGTATTTATATCTTTCTGGCTATTTAATAATGTCTAAGATAATTCATGCTGCAGTTGCTGCGGTTGCTGCGCAACGCCAATGCTGCGGTAACTTGCTGTTACTGTGGATGCTGCGGTAGTTGTTGTTACTGCGGATGCTGCAGTAATGCTCTTATTCAACAAGCTGTTCATCGAATCTTTACAAAGTAAAGGGTTCGTTCTATTTATAGTTGTTCCTTTTGATAATTTGGGGGTGCAAGAGAGTTGTAGAGTTGCTGCGGTTGCTGTGGTAGTTACGTATTGTATTCTGATTGCCGCTTGGTGTGTGGTTTTTTTGTATGTTTGTTTTACCTGTTATGGGTAGTTCTCGGGGTAACACACCTCCTCGGGCCCAGAAAAAGATGGTCCCACATCGTTCAAATTGTTGTATAATGGATCGTAAAGTCGCTCTGTATGTGCGTCGGCGCTCCATCCGTTCGTATTTTTGTTGTAATTCTTCTGTGATGTTCCTTGGATCGTAAAGTCACGCTGTGTATGTGTTGGTGCTCCATCCTTTTGGTTTGTTGTATTGATTGTGTGGATCGCAAAGTCGCTCTGTGTGTTTCGGTACTCCATCCGTTCGATTGCATTAATAATTTGTGTATGGATCGTAGAATCGCTTTGCGTATGTGTTGGCGCTCCCTTGTATTGTTGTGGATTTGGTTACGGATCGTAGAGTCACTCTGTGTGTTTCAGCGCTCCATCCTTTTACTTGAATTGTCTCTTGGTGTCATTGGAATAGTTGTTGTGTGTTTGTATATGTGTATGACTAGTTTTCCCTTTTAATGCTGTAACTAATTTGAATATTTATTTATGTGTGTATGAGTGTGATACAACTGATAGATAGATATATGATAGGTAATAAGAATGTTTTGTGGGTGTTGTTTTTGTGTTATATGTTTTTTTTTCTTTTTTTTTTTCTACTACATTTTTTTTTACTACATCTTTTTTTTACTACATCTTTTTTTTTGGGGTTACAGCAAGGTTACTATTCCAGAGTCGTCTATTCAGACCCTTCTTGGCGATTGCTAAATATGAGGTGGCAGCAATCTCGGCAGTATATATTTGTGGGTATCTAAGTGAAGGTATTTTGTAGGATAATATTCAGGGCGATAGATCTCACTTGATCCTTATCCTCTGTAAAATATGCCTGAGGCCGGACGCGGCACCTCGCTACAAGCCTATTTGTACAACCCGCCAGTAGCATTAATCTTTCATTGACATACTCTCTCATAGCCAAGAGCGTATTGGCTTCTGCAAGATGGCTTGTAAGCTCAGTATGAACGTGTGAGCTCTCTTGTACAAGGTTCGAGATCCTTTCGAACGCGCTTTCCATTGGTTGTGGTGTTGGTGTTGGTAATGTAGACGTAGCCGATCGCTCGTCAATGTCCATGGAGTCAGTTCTATGGCTACTTGTGCTCGGGTTTGGGCCCCATCCGCCTTCATTTATATTTGGAATATACGTGGGCGGTGATCCCCATCTATCTAGGTTGTGAAGGTCTGTTGTAGTTTCATGTGCCCATAGGGCAGCAATGTTAATTCCCGTGTTGCTCTGGATAATGTTGTTGTTGTTCATATCTGCAATATGGTAGTAGTTATTTTCTCTCCTTTTCCTTTTCTTTGTCTTCTCTTTTATATGTTTTGTTTTTTTTTATTTCAGTCTTTTCTCTATGTATTTTATAATATGTTCTTCTCGAAGTGTAAATTTTTTTTATGCATTTGCACGCTTATATTTCAGAGTTATTGGTTTACGAACGTCCTCTGGTAGGTCGATAGCTACTATCTCTTTTCTCCTTTTTCTTTGTTTTTCTCCGATTTCCTACATTTTTAGTCCTTCTCGATTTTCCTTGCTGCGGCATCGTCTGTATTATTTCGTCTTGGTCTGATTCTGATACATCTTCTTGTGGTGGTACTGCATCGACCTCGTCAGTAATGAGGTGCAGCGATGCCTGAGATATTGGGGCTCGGTACTTGGTACCAGGTAAGGTATAAGAGTGCAATCGGTTTCCATGGTAGGGGTTCGGTAGGAATCTTCCTTGCATCGTTTTTAATCGATAGGTAACGCGTTTGTTGACCTTGTGAATTAAAATGGTCCTTCCCATAGATCTTCTAGGCGTCCTGCCCAATTTCCTTCCAAGTGATTTTGATATACTTGAATAGTATCTCCAATTTGGAAAGGGCGTTATAGTTCCTTGCCTTACTGCAGTAATTTCTTTTCGATTCTCTGTTTCTGTGCCGCTTGTGCACTTTTGATTGTATCAATCGCTTCTTCTCTTATTGTATTGAGTCTTGTGATATGTTCCTCAAATAAGTCGAGTATGATCGTATCTTCGTCGCGCTCATCATCCTCTTCCAGGAGATCTGCAATGTTTGTTTGTGGTTGCACGTGTCGGTCGAAAGGTGTATGTGGTTCTCGTCCATTAATCAAGTAAAATAGAGATCTCTTCGTCGTTCCTTGTCGAATGCTGCGGTATGCGAATAGTAGTGCAGGTAGGTACATTGGCCAGTTCTTCTTTTCTTCTTTATTGAGTCTTTTCACCATGACTCCGACCGTTCGATTAAATTGTTCGACTAGTCCGTTTGCTTGTGGATGATATGGTGATGTGAGTCGATGTTCGATGCCGTATTGCCTGCAGATGGCATTTACAAGGTTGTTTTGGATAGGTAAGCCATTGTCTGAGCACAAAACACGTGGGCAGCCATGTATAGTAATGACACATTCGTAAACAAACAGAGAAACTTCTGCTGCATTTGCCACTTGTAAGGCACGTGCTTCGACATATTTGCTGAAAGAACAAATAGCTACAATGATATAGCGATGTAGGCTCTGGGCTGTTGGTAGATGTTTGATATCAATATGCACGTTCTCAAACGGAATGTTCGAAACAGGAATCGGGTATAGTGTTTCTTGGTTGTTGGGTTTCTTGTGTTGGTGACACCGGTCGCATTGTGCGATGAATTGCTGTACGTCTTCCGCCATTCCTCGCCAGTAGTATTTTGTTTTTAGCTTGAATAGTGTATTTTGGAATGCAAAATATCCCCCAAGAGGATGTTTGTGTACCATCCAGATTGCATCTTTGATCTCGCTCCTCTGTAGGATCATTTTTGGCGTGGATCCTTTGCGGTAGAGTTTTCCATTTATAACGATATAGTGTTCGTTTTGAGTGCGAATTGTCTTCCGTAGTTCCTTGCTACTAGTTAGTGGGTATTCGAGTATTTTAAGATAATACTTGAGTCCGTTGTATATGTTGTTATCTATTGTGATTTTGGTTGTGACACAGTAGATGTAGTTGTATGTCGTCGAGTAATTTGAGAATGTTTCAAAATAAGCTTTGTGCGGGGTGATTTTGTAATAGTGTTGTGATCGACGTTGGTATGTTGCTATCAGTATTGTCTCATAATGTGTTGATAATCAGTTTGTGATCGGCGTCCGGTTAGCTTTGTAGTATGTTGATTGATTGTGTTCAGTGTTTCAAGTGTTATGCAGTTGTTGTGGTCTAGAATCTTTAGATTTGTTCGCGGCGTTTGGAATGTCCTATGTTGGTGACTCCGGTTATTTTTGGTGTATTCTTGTCTTGCTGTATTGGTTCGTCAGTCGTCGTCCTTTCTTCTTATTTTTTCTCTAGTTCAACGTCTTCGAAATTTCCACATTTGAATCGTAGGCAACGGTCGAATTGGGTAATTATAGTTATAGAACAGTGACACAAGATATTTCCTTTTCTGTCAACAATTTTAAATTCATCATTCATCATCAATAATCATTTTCTCCATTTTTTCACAAATATTATTTATATTTTTATTATTATCTTTTTGTTTAATATCTAATACCTATTTTTGTTTTGGAATATATTGATATCTATAAACTGTAGAAGCATTTCTCTGTTTTATTGCTATAGTAATTACATTATCATTTAATTTAAAATGAGCATCTACAATATCATATTTTTTATCATCTCTCTTATTACATAACATCTTTTTATATCTTTTAAAAAAGTACTATCCTCAAATGGATTCATAGTAATTGTTTTTATTATATATAATGAAATTCAATTTTCTATGAATAATAACTTTTTTCCAATATACTTTATCTGTCTAATCTTTAAGAAATTCTTTCCATATATTGTTTTCCTTATATCTTCTTCGCCATTGATACTCTTTTAAATATAAATATATATATTTTCTATTCCTATTTCTAATAGGTATACCTTATTTTACTGCATTCCACAAGCTTTCAATATTATTTGTATGAACTTTTGTTATAGGGTCTTTAAAATATTTTGAATGATTAACTGTACTATGCTTATAACCCAATTTATTAATATTTTTATATCCTTTCCATAAATCAGTATAAATTGTAGTACCCTTTTTAACATATTTTGATATGATTTTTTCTATACTTTCCAAATTTCTTTTTAGAATAGGACACATAAAGAGTTTTTTATTTTCAAATGGTAACTTGTTTTTTAACCTACTTCTCTCAATACCTCCTATTACCCAAGCACCTTCTACTTTATGACCTTTATTATACTTTCTCTTTCCAATTTTTGTTTCATCAATCTCGACTATATAATTTCTTCCACCAATTTTATTTTTTTTATTAACTAATTGCTTATTTTTTATATGTGTTCTAAATATATTTTTATAGGATGAAACAGTATTTTTATCAATTTCTAAACTAGATGATATACTTGATCCTATTGATTTTTTTAAAAATTCATAAAGAATATGTAATTGAATATTAATAGGTAATTTCTTTTTATTAAAAAATAGTACCAGAAAATCGTGATTTAGATTTTTCACATTTATAATTTCTACAAATAAATAATTTTCTTTTATAATCTAATCTTGTATCTTTATTACATATATCACATTTTTCATATTTATTAATATAATAATTATCTAATAAATAGTTTATTGCTAATTTTTCACTATCAAATATTTCCTTTAATTTTCTGTATGGTTCTATAAACATTTAATATATACTATTTTTAATATAAATGAAATTCAATTTTTAATCTCAAAATTAATTGAGTTTGAATTTTTGTGTAACGAACTTTTCTTAATATTTCTCCGGTTGAATTTGCTGTTCGTGGTTTCTCTAAATCCTGGTAGTCTGCTAAGGAATTCAATGTTTCGGTTTTGGTGGGCGCTCTTGTAGTGTACGTCGAATTTGTATTCGCTCAGTGTCTCAATCTACCTGGCCATTATGCCTGTTGGTTCTTTCTGGTTTAATGTTTCACGTAGTGTGCTATAGTCACAATACACGTCGAATTTGTTCAACAAGAATGGTTTCAAGAGCCTTACATAGGGGTCTTCATTCACGGATTCGAAATGGATTGCAGCGAACTCAGATCCGTTTCGTTTTTAAACGGATCGATTTTTTGAAATCCAGATCTGATCCGGATTATAAAACTGCAGTTC